TATTAATTAAAATTGATGCCCTAATCTCCTTACCAGCTAATTAACTTACACACATATTCTGATGAAGGTTTGAGCTTACACTCTTAACACCACAGCTAGTACATGGGCGACCAGCTCCATATGGTGAGCTGTGCCGGCTAGTTTATGGGCGACCAGCTCCATATGGTCAGCTGTGCCGGCTAGTACATAGTCCTTGCTCAGAAAGTTCTATTTTTGCATATAATTGATAATTAATAGTTTAAATTTTGGAATTTTTAAAATTAGATTTAGGGATTCGCTTAAATTGTTTGTATTTTTTTCCCCTTCAAGAACCAGTTAGAAGAAAGTTGCACCAACATATTAAATCATTATTTATTTTATTACAATATATTCTATTAGTTTTTCAAGTCATAAAATATTTGTCCGGGTTACTGGGACTGGTGATATTGAAATTTTACTGTTTCAGTTTTCAGGTAATTTATGATATGAGCTGTGACTTGTCTACACTTCTACATCTACAGTACAGTATACTCCAGTGTGTTAAGTCAGTTAAGTGTACCATAATCAGTTTAAACTGGATATAATTAAAAGCATAAACCAAATTTGCCCAAGAAAGGGAGGCGTTTCAAAATGAATCTTGCCCCCAGGCGCCAAACACTCTAGCTACGCCTCTGCGGTGTAAAATTGAAGGTGATGTTTAAAATTGGACTTATTGGCTATAAAAGATCTTATGAAAATAATAAAAGGGATATCGATTGAAACACTATTTATTTTCTAATTTATAAATAGTAAGCTATGGCTACTTTTATTAAAACTAAGTAACTAAGCCCTAACTTCTAACGTGCCCTACGCCTACTTATGACTTATGACTCATAGTCATAGTCATAGTACTCATAGTCATGCTCACCTCATTTAAAAAAATAATTAATTTAAAAAATGAAATTGTACAATAATTTTTGAAACTGCTATTTAGTCGTCCTATCAAAAAGACATACATCTTGGTCATATGGACTTATTAATCCACCATTTCACAGAAAGATCTGGAATTTTCCAATCAAGTGGTGAATGAATTTTCAGTGAAGCTTAATCCATAGTAAAATGCTGTGTAAAGGGAAATCATGCACACAAAAAAACACCAGTTATAGCTAAAGACAGAGTTGCTCTTCTCTCTTCAGCAAAATATATATTAATTATTATAAAAATAAAATTTTAAAATAAAAGGCATTCTAAATTCCGATTAACATAGATTTTCTCAAAATTTATTAACGTGCTTTTGAAAGTAAAATTATTTTGGAATCCAAGCCTAAAATATAATCTAATATACTTTTTAAGCAAAAGAAGTAATTTCATACAGCACTTGCCTTAAAAAAAGCAAAAATGTAAAAAAATATATCATCTTAAGGGAGATTACTGTCAATCACAAACATGGCGGCGGCGATTTCAAAACAAACATTTACGTGTTTCCTTTTCTTTATAATCGTTTCAGTATTTGGGATGGGAATTTTAATATATTCTTTTCAAAAAATAAGTAAGATTAAAAAATATATATTGTGATAATGTAGTCATCTCGTTAGTTTATTATAATTCTAAGTCTGAAGACTCATTTGTCTTAAGTCTTAAGTCTTAACTTGTCTTAAGTTTAAGTTAACTTAACTGTAACCTAACTTAAAAAGTCTAACGTAAATTAGTTTTGCCTAAGCCTAATTAATAAAAACTGCTAAAGAATTAAAGTGAAAGTAAACGTCACTTTTAAATTAGGTTAGTTGTAGACTTACTTTAGTTTTAGTAACTTTAGTCACTAAATTAATAAGATAATCTACCACTTGAGTGTTGGTTGTAACTGTGGAAAAAAAACCAGCCTGAGTCTGTCAGTCCCGTTTGAATTTGAAGTGCTATTATTTAATAAATATAGATAAATGATTACGTTTTTTTTATGACATTGTATGACATGTCATATTCATTTTAGCACATATATAATAAAAATAATCTAAGGCAATATTTTTAAATAGAAAAACTAAAATTAAACAATTTCAAAATTAAAAGTAAAGAATTTAAACACTTTGGATTAACAAAATTTTGTTGCTGCACCACAGTCACAGACAACGGAGTGTTTGTATATTCCATTTCTGATTTGGTTTATATTGATATAAGCCCCTCCCACCCATCTGATACAGTCAGTCAGCCTGGAAGATATATCTTTGTATACACTCATGTAACGTGATAGCACTTCGGCCTTGCACCTCCATGACAAAACAGCGCCCACTCTCTATTTCTACTCCACCGAAAACCCAGTGACCCTCTCTCTAATGTCCAGGTCCCACGGTGGTATTTCCTGTGGAAATATTAATAATAATAATATTAATTGTTTAAGTAGCAGTTCAAGCCGGAACCACTGGATTCTTTTGTAGCAGACGCTCAAGTGGTAGATTACCATTAAGAAAATATAGTATAGTAATTTAAAATTGCCTACCTGAGGTTTAAGCTAGACAAATACTTTTCTTCACTAATTTAAATTTTATTGTCATATTCTGATTGAATTTATGGCGTATGACATTGACCGTATCAGTATGAGTATATTATTTTAAAATTATAGTGGTACTGGTAATCTGTCACTTTTTTAATATGTTTTTTGGGGTCTGAAGTGCTATTTTACTGAAAATACCACTGTAGACCTTGGAGATAGGGCCTCTGGGTTTTTGCTGGCATTTGAAATCTAAGAACCCTTTGTTATAACTCATGCCATATATTATACAATGTCATATATCATGTTAGGAATAAGCATCAACAAAACTTTGTTGATCCAAATGACGCTGTCACTGGTTTCTACACACATAATGTAGAAAAATTTCTATGTGCACGAACTGATAAACAGCAAGGCTCTTATAACTTCTTATTCCCTTCATTGTTACCCTGGCCCAGGGAAAACTTAAGCTCAAACTCTGCTTACATATGTTCTATTTTTAAAATGTCTTAGAATATTTTTATGTGTGGTAAAATTTGGTGTATAATGTCATTAAAAAAAACATTTCCATTTATTTGGATGAATAAACGAAGTTTATCTTATCAATAAAGAAAAATATAATTAAATAACTGGTAAAATAGCACTTTAAACCCCAAAAACAAAGTTTTTGAATAGCCAACACTGAAGTGGTAGATAATTTTTACAATAGTTAGTTTTAATAGTAATATTAATGATAGTGATATGGCATTTAAATTATCAGCTTTTATTATAATATTGGTAAAATCATATTTAAGCGTGGTAAATGTAGGGAACTTTTGTTTAATAATTTAATGTTTATATTTTTTTTTTTAATAATCAACTTTTTCAATATTTAATTATTGTAATTTTTAGAAAGTCAAATACCCTAATTTTGCCCCCACAAAAATATCAACCATATTGTACAAGAACAAAAAATTACATTCCATGTATTTTTTGTTATCTGCAACACCATTGTGGTATACACGGAGAACTATTGTGTCTTTAAAGAAATTTTCTCTTTGTGCAAGGAGTTAAGGCTGTTAATAATTTTCAACCCAAACATTATCCTTGGAGGCCTTGTCGCAGATGCTAAATGTAACTAAACTGAAATGCTTAGTCCCTTAATGCTCATACCATTAAAAGGCAAACTAGTTAGGCCCAGTGCATTGATGAATAGTTAATCCTAAACCCGTAAAAAGAATATCTGGGGATCCACAGTTTTGGAAACTATTATGCTAGGAAATGAAACCATATTAATGTTTAATTTTTTAAAAATTGATTTCAATGATTTTCAAATATGTTACAGGCTCTGTTTGTTCCAAGCCGACAACAGGACCAGCAGAAGCTGAAGAAAATTGGAGTTTGTGGGGATTTATTTCTTATTTTTCTAATCCTGGAGACAGCTACAAAACTGATAAAAAGAACAAAGTGAACCAATTTTGTTATGAAGGATATATGAGTGCTTTTTCATTTATTCTGCGCAATCATTTACCTGAAGACATATGTAAAGCCTGGCACAATACTTGCAATTTTCTCCTCGATGTCACCCATTGGATATCAGCATATTTTGTTAAACATTTTCTATTATTTTTTATCCCACTTTTGATTATCTCTGCGGTGCTGTTTACATTAGGAACAAAAAGAAGACGTAAGTTTTATCATGATTCTGCCAATAACTCTAGCATCGCAATCTTTGATGATTCGATGGAAAGCTCCAGTTCATCTCCACTGAAAAGGACTTTTCTGTATGAAAAGACTGGAGGAAATATATGCAGAGCTTTCATTTTCCAACATGTGGGTTGGCTGTCCCTACTAACAGTGTGCGCCCTGTCTTTAAGCATACCATGGGAATTTATTTATCTTTACCAGAAAAGCATGGCAGACAAAGCTGTCACGATTGGCCAGGTAAGTTGCTTAAACACACCTGCCCATCCATTTTGAAAGTATGTAGTTTTTTTTTAAATGACATTCAATGTAGAATACCATTAACAACGAATATTGGTGTCATTTGAATCCATTTTCTTTGCTATAAAAACTTAGTCACAGTATCAAATAATCCTATTTCTTATTTATAATCTTAATGAAATAAAACAAACGTAACAATTAATGATTATTTGCTGATCTTTGTAAAAATAAATTTGTTAAAAATAACATTTGTTTATTGTAAGTGTAAGTCAGGCTCACTTAGTGAGTTTTGTTAGGGTTGGTTACATCAAATGTTAACAGAACAAGAAGCTTTATAATTTGACTTCATACTGCTTCATTCTTTATGCCAAAAATTCAATGCAGTAATAGGAGTGAGGTTGTTAAAATTAAACACTGTAAAATCCCTACTCATTAGACATCCAAAAGTGGAACATCCAAAAATGAGATTTTACTACACAGCTTCTTGGCCTCAATAAATTATAATTAGAAGTGGTCCCTAATTGTTATCCCTAAAGACAATGAACTCCAGAAATTACTGTTAACAGGACTTCTGCACGTAAGAGGTTAATAACCCCCCTTCCCCCCCACATGGTTCACAAAGCATCTCATTGACTTTTTACAGGGCTTCCCACCTGAGTGTAATCCACAGTCGCAGTCCTTGTTTGAAAGCATCACGTCTTTACTGAGGTACCAGTTTTCCTGGAGCTACAGACACGACCCATGCAAGAAATACTATCACGCCCTGCTGGTGGATCCTCTTTGGGAGGTCACTCCTTTGATGGTCAGTTTCTTCTATTTTATTTCCTTGCTGCTTAATCTAAAAATAATCTTAGCTAAGTTTAAGATTATAATGACAATTGAATCGCCATTTTGCAAAGGTGTTTCGGCATAAGATAAGCTCCCTTAATCCAAGTTGCTCCTATTGACGGTTAACTTCCTTTTATGCCAACGACCTGAAAAGGGTAATTGTTTCATGACATTTATGTACACCGTTAAAAGCATTACTACTACAACAAAAATTCAGTTTTCTTTTCTTGAACCAGATTCTTTTGAGCGACAGTTTCGTTAAATTTGATACTATTTTGGTTTTCTATCACATTGTCGCAGATTTTTATTTCACTTTACTTTGACCTTTTATTGGAACAGTCAGTGTAAAACAAATATGACTAGTTGTTAACTGGATGAATTCAACAATTATTTTCATTTTTTTTTTACCCTCGAGCATTGTGGAAGCCACTGTTTCAGTAGTAAATATAATTGTTACTATTTTTTAAATATATATATATAAATATTTTTTTTTTAAACTAGTCTTTTTTTTATTTTTATTTATCTGTTTTAAATATATATATAAATTTCTATTTATTTCAGTAATAAATAGAATTTTTTTTATTTTTAAAATTTTAATCTGAAGACTACAACAGTGAAAGGATTAAGGGAAGGATTGTGTTCAAATGAAGCAATGGGAAATATAGACAGGGTAGAGAAAAACCTGAAGAAGGACAAAAACAGAAAGTGGATGTTTCTGCTAAAACGCCCTTTCGACATCAGAAACAGTTAAAGACAGGGGCACACGCTCAAAGCCTTTTGCATAGATATGTAGTCTATGCTGTCGAGGGCTTTTTGGTCGAAACGTTCATTTTCTGTAATAGTCCTTCTTCAGGTTTTCCTGTACCCTTTGTATATTTCTTAGACTACAATATTGCAGTGCTAAAATATATTTTCACAACTTTTTTTGCTTTTATTTCCCCCTTCAGGTTTTGTCTTCTGTGTTCACCCGTTGTCTGCTGCACCCTTTAGAAATTGTCACCTCAACACTGGGGCGTGCCGTTGGGTCGTTCTTCTCTGAGATCCCTGTCCAGTGGCAGCCCGTGTTTGTACTGTTTCTCATGGTGTTCTGCCTGCTCCTGGTCCTCATGTGCTGCAGGTACAGCCTTCACGTCCCAATGATTTTAAAGTTTGAGCCCAGTCCTAGGCTCAGCCAACAAGAACCACTTGCTCAGAATAACAATAATAATAAAGTTGTTTATGAGTTGCGACGAAATTCACGAAAAGAAGATATCAACAGTGGGGTTATCTCCTCCCCTTGGCCAACAGATGGAGAGCTAAGGGAAACCACACTCAGTTCTTCTAAGCCCAGGTCTAATCGAAATGAGGCAGTAGCCATCCCTTTTCAAACTGATGTTTGGGCTTCCAAACCCAAATCTAAACAGAAAGAGGAGGTAGCCTCCCCCTTTCAGACCAATAGTGGGACAACCAAAAAATCTAAAAGTTTTCAGAGGACACAACACAAGGAGACTGACCCAGACTGGACACCAGGCGCTGGCAAAAGAGCCGTCCAGTCAACAGCAACAAAATGTAAACAAGAAACTTCTGAGAGGAAAAGAGTTCAAAAACAGAAGAAGGCATTGTAGACAACATACACTTGATATGTGTCAGGGGAAAGACACATTGGTACGTTGACAAGACTTTGGTTTGTGTCAGGACACGGACACAACAATATCTTGACAAGACTTTGGTTTGTGTCAGGGAACAGACACTAAAATCTCTGAATGAATGAAATATCAAAATATCATCTCTTTACCGGTACTGCTAAAGAAAGGAAACAGTTGTGCAAGAAGAGTAAAGCATGTACTCATGTGAGTTGATCTACTGATGTGAGTTGATGTATTGATGTGATTTGATGTACTGATGTGAGTTGATGTACTTATGTGAGTTGATGTACTGATGTGAGTTGATGTACTGTTGTGAGTTGATGTATTGATGTCAGTTGATGTATTGATGTCAGTTGATGTACCGATGTGGGTTGATGTTCACTTGAGCCATTGGCTCAGCTGTATTTTGCTCCATATTCTTGTTAGTAATTAAGCACTCTTGTAAATATCTTTTCCTTTTTTTTTCTTATAAAGTCTTACACTTTGCTTCCTGTCAATGCTGAAAGGGATGGTGTAAAATGTCAACTGCAATCTACGCCATTGTATGTGGTATGCTGTAAATCTACGCCCTTTGTATGTGGTATGCTCTACAATCATTTCAGTGTTTGAAATTTGATATATTATATTTTTTGTTTCTTTTGTTTTGAATCCTTACTTTTACAATTGTCAAAAGTTTAAAACATGCTGATTGATTTGCACTGCTTTTTAACATTTCTATTTATTTAAATGTGATTTTAACATTTACTCTTGTAGATAGTATACATTTTTTTATTGTTTGCATTTAAATTAAATAATGATGATGACATGACGATTTTTTAACATTTCAAAGTTGACGCAATTTGCTTAATTTTTATTTAAATAACTCTTTAAAATGCACTTGAATTTGTATCTCTTATACAACTGATATTAGATGGCTCTATAGATTCTTTACAACTGATATTAGATGGCTCTATAGATTCTCTTTAAACTTGTGCTATATTCTTTTTTACATTCAGTGTCTCTGACAGGGATTCTGAAATTGTAGCCAATAGTTAGTAACCTAACACAAAAAAATCATAAACAGATCTCCAGTGCAGTTTCTTTAAAATGTGAATTTTGAAAAATGGACCTGACATAAATGACCCAGAGTTCCAACCATAATCGACACAAATCCAGACACTTTGTTTACTTTGGACTTGTCCAACGGGGATGGTGGCTCATTTGAGAGAGGACGGACTACCATTAAATTAATCCTCCACGGCTTAGGGTACTGAGATAATTTATACACATAAACATTTAAATATAATTTATAAGACACATGATTTAACATTGAAATATAACTTATATTACAAATGGTTTAACATTGAAATATAACTTATATCATACATGGTTTAACATTGAAATATAACTATAATACACATGGTTTAACTTTGAATTATAACTTATACTACACATGCTTTAACAATGAAATATAACTTATATTACACAATTATTTAACATTGAAATATGACTTGTATTACACATGGTTTAACATTGGGATTCAGGTAACTCCCGTAACACCTGTGGTGTCAGCCAACCCTGAACATTCAACGTGCCATTAAGATTATTATTCTTATATTCTTATTAGGTGGTTTTATATAGCGCCGTACCAGGGGCTAGGCTCACTGCAGTACACCAGCCTAGGGCTAGGCTCACTGCAGTACACCAGCCTAGGGCTAGGCTCACTGCGCTTCACATAAAAATTAGCAATTACAGAAAATTTTACATTAAAAACAACTATTGGTAAAATGCCTGACCTCACCTGCCAAAGTACTATCTACCCCTGTCTAGCCAGTTTAAAGAAATGGGTCTTGAGGGCAGTTTTGAAGGCTGTGAATAGCTGCTTGAAGAGAATGGATCAGACTGGTAATAAGTTAAATTTCCATTGAAACACTTTGCAAGCTTCACTGGACACATTTCCAGGCATTGATTCTTTTTCTGATGCTGAAATACTTACTTCAATATATGACATAGTGGCAGCCATGGGTGTTCCTTATATCTTTTGTGTTTGTTCAGACCTGAAGTCATCCAGTTCAATAGTCGTCTACTCATCCATTATCCACATTAATTACATTCTTAAATGTGAAGACTTTTATTGTAAATTTAATCAAATAGCTTTTTTTTTTTTAAATATAAAAATAAAAGGATTATTTTTGTTTCATCTTGATTTGTTGATTTGTTTTTTACTTTACAACATTGTGCGACCATCGGGAGGTGGGGGTGAAGTGGGTAAGGGAGGAGTTACTGTCATGTCAGTGACAGAAGTATTTACAGGATGAGAAATGGATGTCTTAATGAGTTTAAACAAAAAAACAAAACAAAAAGTTAAAATAAACAAACCTAAGTCCATTTTGTCTTAGATTCTAATTTTTTGATTTATTTCAAATGTTTTTAAGAAAAACGTTTAAAACTTGAATAGTAGTTGACTACTTATAACAAATTTAGATTATTTGAATCAGTGCTTCTCAAAATTTTTAGTGTGATGACAGGCTGGCAGGAATTTATCTATTTGCCGCAAAGACCTGTGACCACAACATATAATTTTTTTTTTTTTTAAATTACTTTTCGATCTTAAATTCTTCGACTTTTGGTACCAGCGGACTAGAACCCGTATGTGTACTGCCAGTTTGAGAAGCACTGCCTCAAATCTTTGTTTTTAACCTAACAAGTATACAATGACATAATGAATGTAGACCCTACTTCTTCTCTAACAAATATACAATGACATACATGAATGTAGACACTAGTTCTTCAAGTATTTAGAATTCAAATAGTGAATCTCGTAATTCTTGGCCCTGACCACCGGGAAATTCGGATGATGGAAGAAACCTTTCGGATTTTTGTGTACGTAGAACTTCCGGAACCCGGCCTCGCTCAAGCCTCGGAGAACTCGCAGGGTTCGCCGCAGACGATCCTCGTTGGCCGGGAATCCCACGTGAAACTCCACCAGCAGCTGCTTGAGGCTGTCCAGCGAGTGGTCGGAGAGCATGCCGTACAAGGCCGACCACTCGCCGCTTTCGATGTCCATCTTAATCAGGTCGACGCCCTTCCTGACGTGGCCCAGAATCGTGAGGATGTCCTCGAAGGTGTACAGCTCGACGCCACCCGGGGTGACCTCGGACCAGCGCCCGATGCCGTAGGGGTGGACGTGGACGAGCTCCGACCGGTTGTAATCTTCCCCGTTGGCGTTCAGCCTGAACGCGTGGACCTCGCACTTGTAAACCCTGGCCACGTCGTCCTCAAAGCTGAAGTGCGTGTCGAACCCGAAAGAGTACACCAGGCATTTCGACGACGCCCTGGGTCGGAGGCCGGCGTCGTCGCACAGCTCCCACCCCCCGTCACC